CTCATAACGAAGACCTCCTGCATCCTTGCCAGCACGACTGACCTTTGCTTGGCACCGCCAAGATGCAGTGCAACTCTGTGTTCCCCTGCAGGGCTGCGGGCTTGTCACAGCTCTGGGAGACGTGAGTGACTGGAAAGGGAGAGAAAAGAAGGCAGGGTTACCACTTTCTCCGTGCTTCTCCCACACCGTTTTGTGCTTCACTTTTTTATGCATTTCCCCACCAAGCACTGACTCAGCATCACTGCTCCTCTGGCTCTCCCTTTCAGGTTCTCAAGAGGTAACTGACATTCTGTCAGGGAAGAGGAACAAGCATTTCTGCTCCCAGCCACCCACAGCTGCCTGCAAGGGTCCTCCACTCAGTGACTGACAATTTCTAGCCAGGATGACCTAGTCAACAAAGCTAGGGAAGCCTGGGACCCACCTGAGCAGTCCCAGGTGGCTGTGGCAAGCCAGTGGTTTGTTACTGGAGTCTGTCCCAGCACTGAGCAGATGCCCTCAGGCTTCCTTGGATGCCATGGAGCTGAAGGTGTGGGGTTAGTTGCTCCATGGCTCTTAGAAAACTAGGCCCAAAGCAGTATGGCTGCCTTCACAGCAAGTGACAACCTTCCACGTCAGAGAGCAGAGGGACCCCTGGGAGGGGATAACACAGAGAACATGACACAGGGTGGGGCTGATTCCACCTGACCACAGGTATTGACCATGGAGATACCCATCTAAATCCCTTTACACTCAGTGGATTAAAAGAAGCACTTCAGCAACACAGTTTCTCTCTTCCTAAGCTAGCCATAGACATCAGCAATAGTTTGGATGAGAAACACATTAGATGGGCCTGTTTTAGCAGCAGCAAAGACAGTCCAGGTGAAGGTAACAGCATATGCCTCTCTCTACTGAAACCAGGGTGGAATACTTGGGAATTGCTATTTGGCTCATACAGTGGTGGTGGCTGGTGTCAGCAGGCCATGTTCACAGCCCAAAGGACTGTGGAGTGGTCACCAACTCAGACACTCAGGGATATTGATAATATAGATAACATTGACAATAGAGACGTCTATTTTCATCAGCTGTGTCATTTAGAAATAGCAATACTAATGAGGAGGGAAGAGTAATCACAGTGACCCCTGTGAGTGATCAGTGATCTCCTATAATGGACAAAGGCTCAGAAGAGCTGGGCAGGGGCAATTACAAAGCTCGGGGAAGAATGTATGCAGTGACTGACTACAGCTGTTGCAATGAAAGGGGACCTTATCTCAGCACAAATGGGACCAAGGAGTGGGCTTTGCCCTAGTTAGCTGAGTGAATCAACCAGTTATATCAGCTGAGTGAATTGACCAGCTGTGTAACTGTACATCCCTCAGAAGATCAAAACGATGGCAATAATCTCCTAAATTAGCCAGACTGGCATGGGATGAAGGTATGTATGCTTTCAGCCCAAAACAGCATAGGAAACTGAACAACAAAAACAACTCGGAGGAGAGCAATGAGCCTGAGCTGGCTTTAACCCACATATTCCTTTTTGGTTGCTGGGGATACTCAGCGTTGCAGTGGCGGACAGATTGCAGAGATTGGTAAGCCCATCCCAGCTGGGAGCCCATCCCACTGCAGTTCTGCTGGCTCTTATCCCAGGGCATCCAATCATCTGAGAAGTAATAGCAGCTTTCTTTAAAGGGTCTCGAGCCCACTGGACAGCACTTTCAGCTGTCCTCTGTAGGGGAAGAAAGACCTGTGTTGGACAAGATGTGCTGTGCCTCTTCTCAGTGAGCTCAGCACAGAACCCCAAGTATCAGAGAAGGGGTTTGAACTGTACATTTCTTTTGGACAGCGGTAAATGCTCTCTTTTGTGCTCCACAAACAGCACCATTGACACCCT